ACACAACCACTACAGCTACTACACAACTACTACACAACCACTACAGCTACTACACAACCACTACAGCTACTACACAACCTCTACAGCTGCTACACAACCACTACAGCTGCTACACAACCACTACAGCTACTACACAACCACTACAGCTACTACACAACCACTACAGCTACTACACAACCACTACAGCTGCTACACAACCACTACAGCTGCTACACAACCACTACAGCTACTACACAACTACTACAGCTACTACACAGCTACTACACAACCACTACAGCTACTACACAACCACTATAGCTACTACACAACCACTACAGCTACTACACAACCACTACAGCTAATACAGCTACTACACAACTACTACAGCTACTACACAACCACTACAGCTGCTACACAACCACTACAGCTACTACACAACCACTACAGCTGCTACACAACCACTACAGCTACTACACAACCACTACACAGCTACTACACAACTACTACAGCTACTACACAACTTCAGCCTTGATGAACAGACACAGTCTAACGTGTGTGTGTGTGTGTGTAGGGTGACATGGAGTCTAATGGGAAGTACATCACCAAAGATGGCGCCCGTGTCGACTACCACACCGGGCCCATCGTGTGGGGAGAGCCGGGGACCAACGGACAGCACGCCTTCTACCAGCTGATTCACCAAGGTACACACACACACACACACACACACACACACACACACACACACACACACACACACACACACTGACACACACCAACCACACACACTGACACACACACACACACACACACATTAGTAGCTCCTCTCTCTCTCCTGCAGGAACTCGTCTGATTCCCGCTGACTTCCTCATGCCTGCTCAGTCTCAGCATCCAATCAGAGACAACCTGCACCACAAGGTGACGCCCCCTCTGCATGTCACTCAAATTCTATAAGCTTTATTGACATTACAGAGGTGTTTCTCAATCTCGAGTAAAGCTGCTCCAGAGCCACTATTTCAAGCATGCTACGTCATCGAGTGCCGCCGAAGGACTTTTCCAATGTCCAGCATACTTGGAATTCTACCGAGGCCGGCGTACTTCGTAGTGAGAAATGTCGAGGCTGTACATGTGTAGACTCCGCGGTCTTAAAATCCCCACAATCCTTTGCGCACAGACCAATTTCCAAATCATTGGTGGAAATGGCGCTCCATTTAAGGCGGGGCCTCGCATATAACGCACACCTGTTAGCCTGTTCCACCATTCTTCGTTTTCCGAGGCTAGGAAGGATTCTTGCCTCGCTTCTGAAGGACCTGAGTCGGAAGACATGTCCTACCAAGGAAGCGTCCTCGACATTGAGAAACACCCTGTGTGTCTGTCTGTACTGCCTGTCTGTAGAACCTGGGTGTTTCTCAATATGGAGGACGCTTGCTTGGTAGCACATGTCTTCCGAGCGTCTTGCTTCAGAAGCGAGGCAAGAATCCTTCCTGGCATTCGGAAAACAAAGAGTGGAAAAGGCGAGCAAGTGTGCAGGTGTGCTTCATATGAGAGGCCCCGCCTTACATTTTCCGCCACAGATTTGGGGAAATTGGTCCGTGCGCAAAGCATTGTGGGGATTTTAAGTCTACACATGTGCAGCCTCGAAATTTCTCCAAACGAAGGACGCCGGGCTCGGTAGAATTCCAAGTATGCTGGAGATTGGAACAGTCCTTCGGCGGCACTCGATGACGTAGTATGCTTGAAATAGTGGCTCTGGAGCAGCTTAACTCGAGATTGAGAAACACCCACAGTCTCTAACTTCCTGTCTGTCTGTACTTCCTGTCTGTCTGTACTTTCTGTCTGTAGATCCTGTCTATACTTCCTGTCTCTAAATTCCTGTCTGTCTGTACTTCCTGCCTGTAGATCCTGTCTCTAGCTTCCTGTCTGTCTGTACTTCCTGTCCTGTCTGTACTTCCTGTCTGTAGATCCCGTCTCTAGCTTCCTGTCTGTCTGTACTTCCTGTCTATACTTCCTGTCTCTAACTTCCTGTCTGTCTGTACTTCCTGCCTGTAGATCCTGTCTCTAACTTCCTGTGTCTGTACTTCCTGCCTGTAGATCCTGTCTCTAACTTCCTGTCTGTCTGTAGATCCTGTCTCTATAGACCCTCCAGAAAAACGCGGGCAAAAATCCTTGATTATGCGATTAAACATGCGGGGTTTTTATGTGATTTTATGCGGTGAAATTGCGGGAACTTGCGAAATATGCGTAAAGTTGCGAAATATGCTAAATATGCGGNAACACCCCTAAAATTTCCTGGCGCCTCAGATGTGTACACGTCGGAACTGTAAAGGGCGTTGCTTCACGGCGCCGGCAGCCATCTTAAGATTCATACGATACCTGTAACCTTGTCAGGAAGCCGCCCTGAGGTACTGCATCGTAGGAACTTTATCACCGTAGACCTCGTCGAAAGAGCTGTAACCTCTTTGTGGTGTGTGTGTGTACGTCCTTGTACTCGTCGCAGGTGTTCCTGACGGTCAGGTAATGGCTGCTGAGAATGTTATAGTGTGTGTGTGTGTCTGGTTGGGTGGGTGTGTGGGTGGTGGTGTGTGTGGTGTGTGTGTGTGTGGTGTGTAGTAGAATGTGTGTGTGTAAACTACGCAATGTCATGTGTTGATCGTGTGGGAGGGGTTCTAACGTGAGTTTGTTGCTGTAGTCATAGTGTGGTAGTTGCATTTAACTTGAGTGAATGTTAGTTTGCTGTGTAGTCTACTGTGTAGTGTCTATGTGTAGCGTTTGTGTGGAGTTCTAGTGTGTTAGTTGCAGTAGTGCGCAGATTACGTGTGTAGTCTGACCTAATGTATGAGGTGGAGTACGTCTGGGATGGTGTGTAATCAAGAGGTTTCTGGTGATGTTATGTGGTGTGTGAGTTTGTGTTGGTGAGTCTTATGTGTGTGAGAGTCTGATTGTGTGCTGAGCTGTGTGTGTGATTGAGTGGTGGGTTGAGTGTTTGCGTGGTGGTTGTTAGTGTTGCAGTTGTATACGTGTAGCACCTGAAGTGGGGTATGTTCTCTTTGTGTTGGTGTGGTAGCAGACATTATGGAGTGTAGTTCTACGTGTAGGTTTGTGTGTAGTGCACACGATAGTAGTATTAGGAGAGAACTGTGTACGATGGAGAATTGTGATGTAGGAGATAATATAGAGTGAGGTAGGACGTGTCTCCATACAATTGTACTGTTGCTTGGTAGATACTGTAGTATGTTCCTCAGGGAGGGTTGGCTGGTGAGAGCTTAGGGATGTAGCGAGTATGGGAGCTAAGCTGTGAAGATGTGCTAAGTGTTTGTATGTTTTGTTCCCGTCGGCCCCTTGGAAGTGTCGGTAGCTCGAGAAAAGACTGCTAGAATGCAGAACGAAGTGACGACGTTCCTCTGTTGTTCTAGCTGAGGTTAGGCGTGTCCACTCTCGTACGTGTTGTAGGCAAGTAATAGAGTGAGTTGCGAGTTGAGTGTCGTGTATGTTGTGGTTAGGTTGGTTGTGTGTGTTAGCTATATGTGTGTTAGGTGGTTTGTGGTTGTGTAGTGTTGTGTTCGCTAGGTGTGGGTGTTATGCGTGTGTGTCGTGTACGATAAGTGTGTGTCGTGTGTGAGTGTGTGTGGTAGTTTGTGTGTAGCTGGTGTCTGTGTGTTAGCTGATTGTGAGTGTGTTGAGTGTTTGTTGTGTAGTTGTTGTTGTCGCGGTAGTGTGCTTGAGTCAGACGTCCGTTGATCGTAGCATGTAGCGTGTGTAGTAGTTGTATAGGTAGTGTCATAGGTGTGCGCTGACCGCGAGATATATAGCTGCTATGAGTTTGTTGTGTAAATTTGTTGCTAGATTCTGAGTCGGTTAGCGTAAATTTTCATTATGTTACGTTGTATGTGTGATAGTATACATGTATTTGCTACTTTGTGTGTACGTTAAATGTGTGACAAGAGTTAGATTAAAGAAGCAGACAGTAAGTTAGCTTGAGTTGTAGTGTTGGAGTGGTGATAGCAACGATTAAGTAGGTTTGTGTTAGTTTGTGTGTAGTTTGTGTAGCCCAGAGTTAATGTGCAGGTTTTGTGTGTAGTTTAGGTGTGATAGTATGTGTCTAGGTCAGGTTATGTAGCACGGTTTTGTGTCGTAGAGCAGTAGTCATGTTGTAGTGTTGTGATCGTTAGCATAGTAGTGGGTAGTTAGTGTATGACCACCTTGGCTATATATTATATGTAGTTTGCTGTGTAGATTTTTTTGTGACGTACTGACTTATGTGTCAAGGCTTTGTGTAGTAGTTATGAGTGAGTAGGCTTTATAGATAGAGTTAGCTTCTTTTAACAGATGTTTGTTGAGTTTATCTTCGTGGTGAAGTAAGGCGCTAGAGGTAGTTTGGGTGGTGTACACATACAGGGGTTTTGTGGTTGAAGAATGGTAGTGCGTAACGGTCAGACCAATCATAGTAAGTATATTGTGACCGCTAGTTTGCGTTGCGTAGTGTGCCTAAGTTGCGAGTCCCATTGGGACGCTCGATATCCAGATGCGTAGTTTTTGTGTAGCATTTGCTGTCATACTATTGATCTTTAGTATTCGTCTAGTGTAGCAGATTATGATAGTGAGTTTGATGTGTGTGTAAGCAGATGCTTAGGTTTGGTCGTAGCTCGTGAACATCGGTGTAAGTGTTGTGTCGTTTACCAGCCTATATGTAGTTTTGTGTGTGATCCTGCATAGATGTAGTTTTGTGTGTAGCTATATGTGATAGCTTCTGTGTGTAGCATTTATGTAGTTTGTGTGGTGGCATAGCAAGATGTAGTTTTGGTGTGTAGACATTAATGTGTGTTTGGGGTGTTATGCCCCTAATTACTGACCGCCGCATATGTAGTTCGCGAGTTAGGTGAGCTACATAAATGCTGTATCGGAAGTGGCGAGGTTGATGTAATGGTATGACGGCTTTATTTTTGTTGTTACGTTTGGTGTTTGTGTTTACAGAAAATATGAGCAAGACTAAGCTATATAGAAGACGTACGCGAGCAGGGGTATCCGATAGAGGAGGGGCGGGAAAGGCGCGCGTGCTTCGAGTAGTGTTCGTATGTACTGATGTCGCAGATCTTGGCTGGTGGAGATAGTACGCCGAAACTGACAAAGTTATGAGGTAGTCGATATTCAGAATGTGACTAGTGCAAAATGTGTTGACGTTTGTGCTGTAGACAAATCAAAAAACGTTTGGTGAGTGTACTCGTCGTGTAGATTTGATGGTGTGTACCCTGTGTAGTTTGTGTGTAGTCTAGGGTCAGTTGTACGGACCAATTTCCAAATCATTGGTGGAAATGGCGCTCCATTTAAGGCGGGGCCTCGCATATGACGCACACCTGCACACCTGCACACCTGTTAGCCTGTTAGCCTGTTCCACCATTCTTCGTTTTCCGAGGCTAGGAAGGATTCTTGCCTCGCTTCTGAAGGACCTGACTCGGAAGACATGTGCTACCAAGCAAGCCTCCTCGACATTGAGAAACACCCTGTGTGTCTCTTGGGAGGGATGGGGTGTGTGTGTGTGTGTGTGTGTGTGTGTGTGTGTGTGTGTGTGTGTGTGTGTGTGTGCAGAAAGTTAATCATGTAATTGGTCAGAGGGACACCCTGCTGCCTCAGAGCAGAAAACAGAGAGTCCAACAGGAAGAGACGGTCCTCTGCAGACTAAACGAGATTCAAGATTCAAAGATTCAAAGATTTTATCGTCACTATTTAGATAAACAAGTAGATTACAAGATGACGGACAGATGAAGGTTTATCGGGGCACTTAACAGAGCTCAGGTGTTATTGCCTGATATATATATACACATAGTGAACTTATGAAGTTAAGGTGTTCAACACGCTCCTCACAAGATGCATCTACAGGGAAGTAAGATGCCTTAGGAGAACACACAGCACACTCAAGCCCTTTATCAACCTGCAGCTTATGTACACACCTCCCTGAGAAGCTTTGTGCAAGAACTTTCTTATCTGAA